AATGACATTTGAAAATAATGTATTCATTGATTTGAATACATTTGAATCAATTTCAATACAGCTAAAGATGTGTGTTGTAGTTATGTGACTTCTATGAAGCAGAATAGATTATTGTGAAGAAAATCAACCCTGACCAGTTCTGACCTAACATACACCCCTGGAAGGAAATGCAACACATGTTGCCATGAGTTAACTCAGACAGCCTGGCACATTAACGTCAGTTGGAGATATAGGCTATATTGTTTGTCACAGTATAAACACAGAGAGCATTAGCGCGTCAGAAGAATCTCCTAGTCTGTTCAGCAGGGAAGTCATGTACATTTGCAAACTGAATTAAATAAGGGTTGGGTTGTGGACTGACGCATAATAACATTACGCTATCAAATAGCCCTTTATAGCCTACCGGACACCTCTGTAGTCTCAACCAACTGTCCCAAACGTGAAATCTGTAACCTTTACTGTCAGATACAAGAAAGCTGAAAGGGTAACATTAGTTGTTTACTACAAGGCAAAAACTGCACGAGGGGTCTTACCCATTTTCCACATTTTTCTGCGAAGTGTAGCTTATGGTACGCAGTGGAAGACGCGCAATAACACGATATGCGGCTAAATCTCTCCGGAGGTGAGTATTAATTGCGTAAAAAATCCTAGACATGATTTAACTAATTAAAATATATATTAAAAACCTCAAACCATACCAGAACCACCTCTGGCTAATCCCCCACCGCAATTTACTGCAGGCCTACTATACCAAAGCACAATTTTGCATAAACAGTTAGCTGGACACGCCTTCGTCCGCGCAGAGCCCCAGTCAATTTAGGCACAGTGAAACTTGGTGCGTTCAAAACAATTGGGAACTCGGAAAAAAACGAGCTCAGACTGGGAAAAATCGTGACATCAGTGATCCTCAGGTCGGAGAAGTTGGAGCTCTAGGATCTGGCCTTAATGACTATCTTGAAGATCAATCTGGCCTTAATGGCCAAGTACTCTTATAATCTCCACCCGGCACTCCACGGGACTGGCCACTCCTCAGAGCCTGGTTCCTTCTTCCCAGGTTCCTGCCTCTTCCCAGATTCCTGCCTTTCTATAGTTTTTCCTAGCCACTGCTTCTACATCTGCATCGCTTGCTCTTTGGGGTTTTAGGCTGGGTAAAAATGGCTAAAATAAAATAAATTGATTGATTGATTGATTGATTGCATGATGCTCGAGTTTCCAACTTGTGTAATTCCGAGTTGGATGACCGTTCAAACCGATTTTTACCAATCTCACCTAGCCTACACAATACACATTAACCAAGGCCAGTGATGTGTAATGACACAATATGGGTGAAGAACTCAAGTTACTCTGAGCGACACACTGGATAAGAAAGGGATCAGGACAAGACTAGAATATTACATTCCTTTGTGGGTGACATTCACAGTAGGCTAAGGACATGATAAAACTCCCACTCAATTGATGTAGCACATTTCACAAGGCCTCCAGGATTGACACAGGAGGTTATGTGTTGTTTTTATCAGTCCCTGCTGGTTTGATGTATTGGATCCAGTCTGAACAGGCCACGGAGGGACAGAATTGCGTCCCAAATGGCACTCTATTCCCTACATACTGCACTACTTTTGACCAGAGCTCAATGGGCCCTGGTCAAAAGTAGTGCACTATGTAGGGAATAGCAATTTGGGACACACATAGACTTACAGTACCATTACATTTTAGGTTGAGGTTGTGGGTTCAACTCCCACATCTACTATTATATAAGTACACCCCCTAGAAACCCCCTGGAATAACTGACCTGGATTCAGCTGGTCTCTGTTGATGAATGCTATTGGATGTATTGTTACAAAACAGGGAGTTTAACCATAACTTAACCATACTTTTCAAAAAGTGTGTGTGTGCGCGTGTGTGCATGCGTGTGTGTGTATGTGTGTATTCACACATGCATGTATGTGTGCGACTGTACGTGTGTGTGTGTCATAACCATTGCTGGGGGGGGGGTGGACAAACTGTTACTTTGGAGGTGACTAACTATTTGAATACAGATCCCCAAAAAGTACTACTTTTTAACACTATCTGAATACAGATCTCAGAAAGTGACTACTTTTCAAAACTATTTGAATACAGATCTCAGAAACTACTTTTTGAAACTATTTGAATACATATCTCAGGAATTGACTATTTTATTTTTTAGAAACTATTGGATTGGCTGCCTTCGACTAATGGCAGAGTTGTATCTGGAACTGCATGCTGTCCCTGTAGGCTGTCTCGTCATTGTTGGTAATCAAGCCTACTACTGTTGTGTCGTCTGCAAACTTGATGATTGAGTTGGCGGCTTGCTTGGCCACGCATTCATGGGTGAACAGGGAGTACAGGAGTGGGCTGAGCACGCACTCTTGTGGGGCACCAGTGTTGAGGATCAGCGAAGTGGAGGTGTTGTTTCCTACTTTCACCACCTGGGGGCGGCCTGTCTGGAAGTCCAAGACCCAGTTGCACAGGGCGGGGTTCAGACCCAGAGCCTCGAGCTTAATACAAGGGGAGTGTGTGCATGTGTGCGTGCAAGCATGTGTTTGTGTGTGTGTGTGTGCGCATGTGGGCGTACATGTACATGTGTGTGTGTGCTTGTGCAAGCATACAAATGTTTAAGTGTAAGTGACAACATTCCACACCCCCACTATGAAACCTGCCAGGCCACCACCTTGGGTTATAATGATTTGTGCAACGTACCACAAACCCCAAAACCCTAAACTATAAGTACATCTATGCTTGTAAACTATAATGGTAGAGTACATATATGCTTCAAAACTATAACTGTATATAAAGTGCCTCTATGAAGAACAGCTTTGCCTGTAGGTTTTGTTAATCTTATGTAACTGTGATGGGCTCCAGTGATTCGCTAAGGGCTCTATATTGCCATAGATCAGTGATGCTGTAGGCCTACTATGGTGCTGGGATCTTTAGTTAGGCCCAAAATGTTCCTTCCCCATCCCATCTGCTTCCCATGGACACACACACACATGCAGCTGCATGATGACCTAGTCTCCCATTCATCACTCCTGTCACAGCCCCCGTGGGTAATGGTGCTTTCAAGACAACTGGGAACTCCGAAAAAACAATTTTCCCCAGTCAGAGCTTGTTTTTTCCCAGTTTTCCCAGTTTTCTTGAATGGACTGAAGTCGGAAGTCGGATATTCCGAGTTGTTATGAATGCCGCATAACTCCCAAGCCCCAAAGCCCCACTGGGTGTAACGACCACTTCTCACACTCTTCCTGCAGTTGCTACATCCATTTTTGGTTGTATGTTATGTAGCCATTGATTCTTGAAATATATAACGTATAAATGCCTCATGAGCTTAGTTAATCTGTCGTACCCCATCAACACCCAAAATATAAGCTTGTTTTTCCCCATCCCTCAGCTTTTTACAGAAACAGGGACGAGAAAACGTTTTGTTATTGTTTCAAGTGCTGATTGCCGCTTTGAATACTTATATATATATTTTTTTATCAAACTCTTTGTAGCCCCTGAAGTTACCTGCCATCTGATTGTGCAGTTATCTGTGTATTTTATTCATTTTAACTCATGGAATTCTGACAGGTCTAACCAGATTGGATGAGTTTAAGAATTATATTAATCAATTTGACAAAAACAGACAAAGAAACATATTTATGCACAGACACTGAACATATGTTAGTCTTGGCAAAAGAGGCAGCCCCACTTTATATCTGAAGGCTCCAGAATAAAATGTATAAAAAGTTATCCTCGTTTTTGGTGGTCACACATAACCCAGAAAAGTTTAATTCCAAGTCATAAGGGAACGAGCTATTGCACATTTTGATTGAACCATGCTAAATATCTGTGCTGAGCGCCTTCTCAGAAGTTACAAGCAACCATGAAAAGTTATTGCACATTGCCCTGTCTGCATCATTATTTTAAGTAAACATGCACAAGTGAAAATAACAAGTGTCCTTTGTGCTACATTTGCACCAAAACAACTGGGAACTTCTACATCTGCATTGCTTGCTGTTTGGGGTTTTAGGCTGGGTTTCTGTGTAGCATTTTGTGACATCTGGTGATGTCTCCGACTTCCGACTTCAGTGCGTTCAAAACAACTGGGAACTCTGAAAAAAACGAGCTCCGACTTGGGAAAATAGTTTTCAACGGTCATCCGACTCGGAATTCCAAGTCGGGAACTCGGGCCTCTTTCTAGAGCTCCGACTTTCCGACATGAAGATAATTGAAGTCATGATTTGACATCGTTTTTTTCCGAGTTCCCAGTTGTCTTGAAAGCACCATGTGTAACAAGGAGGAGCAGGCGCACCACACCCCTCTTTTGGCTTATAAAGGCAGACGGATCACGGCATCAAACACTCTCCAAATCTAGACGAAGCGGTTGGTTGAGAAAGTGTATCTCAAGTACAACGGCAATCACCAATTATCATGGCACCCGCTGGAGCTAAGAGGGTAAGTGGCGACTTAATATGAATGAACGTCATTATGGCTGGATCCTAATGCACGCAGTCTTTTGCATGACCATTGCAGATGTGCTATGTATTGCTTCAACTATAGAGAAGTTATTTGGTATAATGTGTAAGTTATTATAATGATACAAATTCACACAATGTGATTGATGGAACAATTGTGCGACTTCTACTTTAACTCTATTCTGTAACTTTGTTTTAGATAAGAGTTTCCCAAACACGGCCCTGGGAGTTTTGGTGGATGAGTTGATTATTTGAATCAGTTATGTAGTGCGAGTTTGGGTAACACTGCCTAGTTTAAGGGTCCGTGCTATCCGGTATCCTTGGGAAGTCCCTATAATTATTATTATTATAAGTCCCTACCCCACTGAAGTTGAATCGTTCAAATTGATAAGAGTTGGGGTTTAGGATAGGGACGTCCCAAGCACTGACCAGAGTTTACAGATAGCTTATTTCATCCAGGGAGCTTTTATTCATGTATTAATTAAGCGTGCATATTTCACACTTGGAGAATGACCAACTAATTACGCGATGTTTGTGCAGAACATTCTGGAGCGCCTGGATGCAGGCGAGATTGTCATCGGGGATGGAGGCTTCGTCTTCGCGCTGGAGAAGAGGGGATACGTGAAGGCAGGTCCCTGGACTCCTGAGGCCGCCGCAGAGCATCCTGAGGCTGGTAAAATAAGCGCGTTTATCTAATTGCTCATATATAGCAGTTCGCGCAGCCTCGCGCCTCCAACTAGTCCACCAGACCGACGCATACTGTAAAACAACATTTTTGTGGAAATACGGTTATATTTTAAAGTTGTAAATAGTTAACTGTTTTGTCTTATGGACTTTATGTATTCTGAACTATAACGATTTAAGTTACTTGAACATTTGTTGTAGTGAACATGTAGTGTCACTTCTACTTAAGGTACTAACCTTTTTACTTCTGTTTTTCGTGTAAGTAGTTCTGATTACTAATTTTCAGTGGTGTGTCTTAATGTTTAGACTAACATTGAAGACTTGTCACTTTAACCCCCTTTGCCAGGCATTCTTGAGCACCGTGCTCATTTCTAGAACAGTAACTGGAGGTAGAGCTGTAAGCATTACAAGATGCTGCATTAGCCTCTGTTATGAAGAGTGGTGCACATTACCTTGTTGATGGTGGGAATGGGTTGTCTCATTGAATATACATTTTCCCAACGGTTTTGATATCGTTCATTATCATTGAAACTTCATAGCACAACAAACTGCTTAATACTATTTTAGAAATACATTTCTTTATTAACACTCTTAAATAATGTTGTATGCATATTGTGAAGTTAAAAAAAAGTTTAATTACCCCAAACCTCCAAAAAACAGAGCCATGTGGCACTATATATTAATAACTTGCAGAAAAATTATAACTATCAGCACAACACAGAAATGTCATTGTTTTACTCAAATATCAATCTCTGACTACTTTATTTTAAGTAAAGATCAAATTACTTAATGTTGGACTGACTTTAAAATATTAAATAATCATAACTTGTGAACTCTACTTTAGATTAGCAGAACACAAGGAAATAGTTATATTTGCTCTAACCTAATATTTGTTAACAGTACTCAAACATTAAGTGATACATCTTATTGACATGAGTTGGTACCACTTTTATGCTTGGAGTTCTACTGACCGTTGGAGATGTTTGAGTAGCCACTACTCAATTTCTTCAATTAGTTACTTTTTACAGTGCAAGTTTTAACCAGACGAGGCTAAGGCAATAAGTCGAAGTTGTAAATACTTAGCCAAAAGCCGATTGCTCTTCTCACTTCCAGTTCGACAGCTGCACCGTGAATTCCTGCGGGCGGGATCAAATGTCATGCAGACCTTCACCTTCTACGCCAGCGACGATAAGCTGGAGAACAGGGGTAATGCTCAGCGCTTCACAGTGAGTATCTGTCTGCTCTGTTTTTATTTAACCAGGTAAGCCAGTTGAGAACAAGTTCTCATTTACAACTGCAACCTGGCCAAGATCAAGCAAAGCAGTGCGGAAAAAACAACAACACAGAGTTACATATGGAATAAACAAAATGTACAGTCAATAACACAACAGAAAATATCTATATACAGTGTGTGCAAATGTAGTGAGTTATGGAGGTAAGGCAATAAATAGGCCATAGTGCAAAAGAATTACAATTATAATTTATTAATTTGTATTAACACTGGAGTGATAGATGTGCAGAAGATGATGTGCAAATAGAGATACTGGGGTGCAAATTAGCAAAATAAATTACATGGGGATGAGTTAGTTGGGTGGGCTAATTACAGAAGGGCTGTGTACAGGTGCAGTGATCGGTAAGCTGCTCTGACAACTGATGCTTAAAGATAGTGAGGGAGATAAGTGTCTCCAGCTTCAGAGATTTTTGCAGTTCGTTCCAGTCATTTGCAGCAGAGAACTGGAAGGAATGGCAACCAAAGGAGCTGTTGGCTTTGGGGATGACCAGTGAGATATACCTGCTGGAACGCATACTACGGGTGGGTGTTGCTATGGTGACCAATGAGCTAATATAAGGCGGGGATTTGTCTAGAAGGGATTTATAGATGACCTGGAGCCAGTGGGTTTGGCGACGAATATGTAGTGAGGTCCAGCCAACGAGCGCGTACAGGTCACAATGGTGGGTAGTATATGGGGCTTTGGTGACAAAACGGGTGGCACTGTGATCGACTACATCCAATTTGCTGAGTAGAGTGTTGGACGCTAGTTTGTAAATGACATCGCCGAAGTCAAGGATCAGTAGTATAGTCAGTTTTACGAGGGCATGTTTAGCAGCATGAGTGAAGGAGGCTTTGTTTGCGAAATAGGAAGCCGATTCTAGATTTAACTTTGGATTGGAGATGCTTAATGTGAGTCTGGAAGGAGAGTTTACAGTCTAACCAGACACCTAGGTATTTGTAGTATCCACATATTCTAAGTCAGAGCCGCCGGGAGTAGTGATTCTAGTCAGGCAGGCGGGTGCAAGCAGCGTTCGCTTGAAGAGCATGCGTTTAAGAGCAGTTGGAGGCCACGGAAGGAGTGTTGTATGGCATTGAAGCTCGTTTGGAGGTTTGTTAAGTGTCCAATGAAGGGCCTGATGTATACAAAATGGTGTCGTCTGCGTAGAGGTGGATCTGAGGGTCACCAGCAGCAAGCGCAACATCATTGATATACACAGAGAGTAGAGTCGGCCCGAGGTCCAGAGAACAGGCCCTCCAATTTGACACATTGAACTCTATCTGAGAAGTAGTTGGTGAGGCATTTGAGAAACCAAGGCTATTTAGTCTGCCAATAAGAATGCGGTGATTGACAGAGTCAAAAGCCTTGGCCAGGTCAATGAAGACGGCTGCACAGTACTGTCTTTTATTGATCGCGGTTATTATATCGTTTAGGACCTTGAGCGTGGCTGAGGTACACCCATGACCAGCTCGGAAACAAGATTGCATAGCGGAGAAGGTATGGTGGGATTCTAAATGGTCGGTGATCTGTTTGTTAACTTGGCTTTCAAATATTTTCGAAAGGCAGGACAGGATGGATATAGGTCTGTAACAGTTTGGATCTAGAGTGTCACCCCCTTTGAAGAGGGGGATGACCGCGGCAGCTTTCCAATCTCTGGGGATCTCAGACGATACGAAAGAGAGATTGCGACAATTTCGGCGGCTAATTTTAGAAAGAAAGGGTCCAGACTGTCTAGCCCAGCTGGTTTGTAGGGGTCCAGATTTTTCAGCTCTTTCAGAACATCAGCTATCTGAATTTGGGTGAAGGAGAAGTGTGGGGGGGGGGGGGGGGGGGGGGGGGGGGGCATGGGCAAGTTGCAGCGGAGGGTGCAGAGCTAGTGGCCGGGGTAGGGGTAGCCAGGTAGAAAGCATGACCAGCCGTAGCAAAATGCTTGTTTAAATTTTCGATTATTGTAGATGTATCTGTGTTTCCTAGCCTGCTGGAAGGTGGTGCTCTTATTTTCCATGGACTTTACAGTGTCCCAAAACTTTTTGGAGTTAGTGCTACAGGATGCACATTTATGTTTGAAAAAGTTAGCCTTTGCTTTCCTAACTGATTGTGTATATTGGTTCCTGACTTCCCTGAAAAGTTGCATATCGCGGGGGCTGTTCGACGCTAATGCCGTACGCCACAGGATGTTTTTGTGCTGGTCAAGGGCAGTCAAGTCTGAGGAGAACCAGGGGCTATATCTGTTCTTATTTCTGCATGTTTTGAATGGGGCATGCTTATTTAAGACGGAGAGGAAAGCACTTTTAAAGAACAACCAGGAATGAGGTCAATATCCATCCAGGATACCCAGGCCAGGTCAATTAGGAAGGCCTGCTTGCTGAAGTGTTTTAGGGAGCGTTTGACAGTGATGAGGGGTGGTCGTTTGACCACGGACCCATTACGGACGCAGGCAATGAGGCAGTGATCGCTGAGATCCTGGTTGAAGACAGCGGAGGTGTATTTAGAGGGTCAATTAGTCAGGATGATATATATGAGGGTGCCCATGTTAACGGATTTAGTGTTGTACCTGGTAGGTTCCTTGATAATTTGTGAGATTGAGGGCATCTAGTTTAGATTGTAGGACGGCCGGGGTGTTAAGCATATCCCAGTTTAGGTCACCAAGCAATACGAACTCTGAGGATAAATGGGGGGCAATCAATTCACATATGGTGTTCAGGGCACAGCTGGGGGCTGAGGGGGTTCTGTAGCAAGCGGCAACAGTGAGAGACTTATTTCTGGGAAGGTGGATTTTTAGAAGTAGAAGCTCAAAGTGTTTGGGCACAGACCTGGATAGTATGATCGAGCTCTGCAGGCTAGCTCTACAGTAGATTGCAACTCCGCCCCCTTTGACAGTTCTATCTAGATGGAAAATGTTGTAGTTGGGAATGGACATTTCAGAATCTTTGGTAGCCTTCCTAAGCCAGGATTCAGACACTGCTCGAACATCAGGGTTGGCTGAGTGTGCTAACGCAGTGAATAACTCAAACTTAGGGAGGAGGCTTCTGATGTTAACATGCAAGAAACCAAGGCTTTTGCGGTTACAGAAGTCAACAAATGATAGCGCCTGGGGAGCAGGAGTGCTACTGGGGGCTACAGGTCCTGGGTTAACCTCTACATCACCAGAGGAGGAGTAGAATAAGGCTAAAGGCATTAAGAACTGGTCTTCTAGTGCGTTGGGTACAGAGAAAACAAGGGGCCGATTTCCGGGCGTTGTAGAATAGATTCAGGGCATTATGTACAGACAAGGATATGGAAGGATATGAGTACAGTGGAGGTAAACCTAAGCGTTGGGTAAAGATGAAATTAATCTACCTGTAAATCTGTTTACTATACATTTCTCAACGCCTGTTCAGCTCCACTTTATTTCCCTACGTGGTGTTTAGCCTACTTGGCATGTTTCACAATGGTGATATACAAGCCATTGTACTGTACCTCAAACTACAGCAATAAGTTTGTACACTAATCAATGGCTGCTTTGACACCAGGGTGCGCAAATCAACGAGGCTGCCTGTGACCTGGCCAGAGAGGTGGCCAATGAGGGCGACGCGATGGTGGCAGGCGGGGTCTCCCAGACCCCCTCTTACCTGAGCTGCAAGGGTGAGGCTGAGGTCAAGGGTATCTTCAAGAGGCAGCTCAATGTCTTCGTCAAGAAGAACGTGGATTTCATGATTGCAGAGGTAGGAATGTGATGTTGTACACGCATATAGCACATTTTCTTACACACAGAACATACTGATACTGTACGTCTCATTTTGACCTGACCGTTTCTGTATTCAATGGATCCTCACTTGGACAATGCTGGTTTCTGTGTTTTGGGCCTTCACATATTTACCCCATCTGTGTGTTTGTGCAGTACTTTGAGCATGTGGAGGAGGCAGAGTGGGCCGTGCAGGTGCTGAAAACCTCAGGGAAGCCAGTATGTGCCTCCCTGTGTATCGGCCCTGATGGAGACCTCAACGGCGTCAGCCCTGGGGATTGTGCTGTCAGGCTGGTCAAAGCTGGTATGGGACTTAATTTAACCATTTAGATGTGCACAAATGCATGTTTGTTTTACTATCCTTGTGGGGACCAAATAATTGGATGTTCAATTCCATTTCCCCAACCCTAATTGTAAGCCTAAAATAGCCTTTTCCTTGTGGGGACCGGCGGCATGTCCCTCCGTGTTTTACTATCCTTGTGAGGACTTCTTGTCCCCCACAAGGATAGTAAAACCAAAAATGGTGTCAATAGTGGTATTATTGTCAAACTTTCAACTGTCATCTCACTCTCTGCTTATAGGAGCCAATATTGTTGGCATCAACTGCCACTTTGACCCCATGACCTGTGTGAAGACTGTGAAGATGATGAAAGAGGGAGTGGAGAGGGCGGGGCTGAAGGCCCACTACATGGTGCAGCCTCTGGCCTACCACACGCCTGACTGCAACTGCCAGGGATTCATCGACCTGCCAGAATTCCCCTTCGGTACACACACACACACACACACACACACACGATAACATCTCCATCGCGATCTCTCTCCTGCCCTCTAGTTGTGTCCTGTTTCTCTTTTTCTTCCTTTCTCACCTCCCTCCTTTCTCCCCCTTCAACTCTGTCTTTCTGACTACATTTCTCTCCCCCAGGTCTGGAGCCCAGGATTCTGACCAGGTGGGACATGCACAAGTACGCCAGAGAGGCCTTCAACGTTGGCATCCGTTTCATCGGGGGCTGCTGCGGCTTCGAGCCCTACCACATCAGGGCTGTGGCTGAGGAGCTGGCCACAGAGAGAGGCTACCTGCCCACTGCCTCCGACAAGCACGGCAACTGGGGCGCTGGCTTGGAGATGCACACCAAGCCCTGGGTTCGCGCCAGGTAAGGAGACCGTATATGCCACACGGGTACAAATTAGATACCAGGAACCACAAAGGAGTGCTAGTATGACTCCAGTTCAAAATCACAAGAGTACAATTATTTAAGTCTAATTGGTACAATAAAACACGAGGTTACGTAGTACTGTAACATTTTATTACCAGCTTATAACTACGTTTGGCGTATACATATGAACGTCCTTCTCTTCCCATAGGGCCCGCCGTGACTACTGGGAGAAGCTGAAGCCAGCATCCGGCCGTCCCAAGTGTCCCTCCATGTCCACCCCTGACAGCTGGGGTGTCACCAAGGGCCATGCCGACCTGATGCAGCACAAGGAGGCCACCAGCCAGGATGAGCTCAAGCCCCTGTTTGAGAAGGCAAAGGCCAGCCACTGAGCACTCCTCCTGGGCTAGGAGGGAGGTGGAGCCCCTGGAGGAAAAGCAGGCAGTAGGAAGCTGTTCTCTACTCGTGGGGGGTGTGCTGTGGTGTGGTGTGAGAAAGGCAGAGGGGAGAGCTCACACACATTCCAAGTTTACATACCAAAAATGATCAGATAAAGTCTTATTGTTCTCCTGATTTCTAGGACTATCTTTTTGTGAACCAAAAGTTATTTTTCTTATGTCGTTCAGATTCGCACCACCTGTACATAGTATAGCACCACCCTATTCTCTTCTGTAATAATTGTGAAGTGACATGTTATAGATTTCTCATTTCAAACTTGATATGTGCTTTACTCAGACAGAATGTTACAGGAGTCATCAAGCCAGTGATGCGTACTGTGAGTGAAACAAACTAAAAAGTTGCTGTCTTGCCTCCAGAGAGTGCTGTTGATCTGATCTGGGGTGTATTCATTACGCAGAGTCTGTTGCAAAACATTTAGCAACAAACTGTTTACTCCAAACAACATTTGGCAAGAAAACAAGTTTCTATTGGATAAATGCAGGTAGGTTTTGTTCTGCTTGTTTCATTATTATTTTTTAAAAAGTGTTTCCATTACAAGAACTAATGAATACACCCCTGGTGCTATCGAAACACAAGCTTATAAAGTGTGACCAAAACTGCTGTGACCACAATGTTAGCACTGGTGAAGAATGTAGCATAGCCTAGTTCTGAACACTAAATTTAGTGCCAAATATTGTCTTACCAAATGGAAGTATTGACTTCATAACTGTTTGATTCAATAAACTTCCACATGACCTTAATGTTTGACTTTTTAATTGTATTTCTTATCAAAACATTAGACATGCAAATGTTTTCTGAAGTAAGTGTTAACAAATACAGTAAATTGTGACCTCAAAATATAAATTATTCACTTGTATAATAAACAGCTTCAAAGCCCAATCCAAATGAGTACTAAAAAGCACAATCATTCTACCATTACAAAAAATGTCATGCAGAAATATTCAATAATCATAATCTCCCTGTCAACCTGAACTGTTTCTTTCACTGGATGCCCTCACCAACTGGCCATCGTGTCCATAGAGACTAATGTAATAAGCACTCTATGGTGCACACTGCATTAAGCGATCTCTGAACTGCACATAAAACAACTGTGCAATACTGCATTTCCACTCCGTTCATCTCTCTGCATTTAGATATATTGATACTGTACATTTGTACATCTACTGTAATATTTGTATATCCACTGCTCCTTCCTTTACGGCTCTGTTCACTACATATTTTGTATATAATGTATGTAAACTTTGTTAATTCCTGTCTGTATTTTAGTTTTAATGTCACAAGTACGGTGAAATGCCTTTCTCGCTAACCCCAACAATGCAGTAATCAATAACTATGTAACACTAAAAATAACAAGGTAGAACAAAAACACAGATCTAGAAACAAGAACACTATAAAGTACACAATATACAGGGTCAGTTCCAGTACCATATTTACAATGTGCAGGGATCGATAGATATGTATAGGGGTAAGGTGACGCCATCAGGATATATGATAAACAGAGTAGCAGCAGAGTTTATGATTGTGTGTGTGTGTAGAGTCAGAATAAATGCATATGGGTGTGTGAGAAAATGGAGTGAGTATGTGTGTTGGAGTATCAGTGTGTGTGTAGGGCCCTGTGAGTGTGCATAGAGACCGTGCAAAAATAAAATCCAAAGGTCAACTCGCATAGTCCGTGTAGCCATTTGGTTAGCTATTTAGCGGTCTTATGGCATGGGGATAGAAGCTGTTCAGGAGTCTGTTGGTGTCACGCCCTGACTCTGGGGACTCTTATTTGTTGAGTCAGGGTGTGATTTTCTATGTTGTATTTTCTATGTTTGTGATCTAGGTTTTGTAGTTCTATGTTTGGCCGGGTGTGTTTCCCAATCAGAGGCAGCTGTCGCTCGTTGTCTCTGATTGGGGAGCAAACTTAGGCAGCCTATTGGCAATTAGGTGCTGTGGGATCTTGTTCCGTGTGAGGTTTGTTGTGTGTGTTACCTTTGGACGTCACGTTTCGTTGGTTTATTGTTTTGTCGTTGTTTATTACATTTAAAATAAACATGTATGCATATCACGCTGCGCCTTGGTCTGACCCGTCCTTCAACGAACATGACAGAAGATCCCACCAAACACGGTCCAAGCATATCCTGCGCCGGTTCTACGTACTGTATCGCCAGTGCGTGTGCACAGCCCTGTGCGTCCTGTGCTAATGCCTCACACATACTGTGCGGAAGTAGGCATCCAGCCAGGACGGGTTGTGCCAGTTCTCCGCTTCAGACCTCCAGACCGCCTCCACAGTCCGGTACGGCCCGTTCCTGCTCCTCGCACCAAACCAGTGGTGCGTGTTCCCAGCCCGGCCCGGCCTGCTCCTCGCACCAAGCCAGTGGTGCGCGTCGCCGGCCCGGCCTGTTCCCGCTCCTCGCACCAAGCCAGTGGTGCGTGTCGCCAGTCCGGCCCGGCCTGTTCCTGCTCCTCGCACCAAGCTAGTGGTGCATGTTCCTAGTCTGGTTCGGCCCGTGCCTGCTCCTCGCACCAGACCAGTGGTGAGTGTGTCCAGTCCGGCACGGCCCGTGCCCGTTCCACCGGTGCCTGGTCCGGCACCAGTCAGCAGCTCCCGTCCGGAGCCAGAGCAGTCCGCTCCACCGGTGCCTGATCCAGCTCCGGTCAGCTGCTCCAGTTCGGAGCCAGAGCAGTCCGCTCCACCGGTGCCTGATTCAGCTCCGGTCAGCTGCTCCACTCCGGAGCCAGAGCAGTCCACTCCACCGGGGTCCAGTCCAGCTCCGGTCAGCGGCTCCACTCCGGATCCAGAGCAGTCCGCTCCACCGGTGCCTGATCCAGCTCCGGTCAGCGGCTCCACTCTGGAGCCAGAGCAGTCAGCTCCACCGGGGTCCAGTCCAGATCCGGTCAGCGGCTCCACTCCGGAGCCAGAGTAGTCCGCTCCACCGGTGCCGAGTCCAGCTCCGGTCAGCGGCTCCAGTCCGGAGCCTGAGCAGTCCGCTCCACTGGTGCCCGGTCCAGCTCCGGTCAGCGGCTCCAGTCCAGACCCAGACGTCAGCCCCTCTCCAGGTTCGGGGTCTCCCACACCAGGGTCCAGACAGGGCTTGGAGTATAGTGGGAGGAAGGAGAGGGGAAGCAGCGCGCCGAGGTCCAGACCAGACCAGGGGCGCAACAGGGAGGCGGAGAATAGGTGGTTGTCACGCCCGCACCCAGCCCCTACCCTGAGAAGGAAAGGTTGTGCGGTCGGAGTCCGCACCTGTGGGGGGGGGGGGGGGGGTACTGTCACGCCCTGACTCTGGGGACTCTTATTTGTTGAGTCAGGGTGTGATTTTCTATGTTTGTGATCTAGGTTTTGTAGTTCTATGTTTGGCCGGGTGTGTTTCCCAATCAGAGGCAGCTGTCGCTCGTTGTCTCTGATTGGGGAGCATACTTAGGCAGCCTATTGGCAATTAGGTGTTGTGGGATCTTGTTCCGTGTGAGGTTTGTTGTGTGTTACCTTTGGACGTCACGTTTTGTTGGTTTATTGTTTTGTCGTTGTTTATTAAGTTTAAAATAAACTTATGCATATCACGCTGCGCCTTGGTCTGACCCGTCCTTCAACGAAAGCTCAGCGATTCAAATCAGCAACCTTTTGGTTACTGGCCAAAGCTCTTAACCGCTAGGCTACCTGCCGCCCGTTCACAAAAGCAAACATTCGTCCAGGAAACTTATCTTTTAGTTTTCAGAATGCTTTATATATTTTTGTTATATGCAATTTTTACATGGTAGACTATCTCTACCTAACTGTGCCATGTAGTGTGACTGCTTGGTTTAGAGTTGACTAAAGCAGTTTGGCTGCATACATTTTACAGACAAAGTATGCCATCGAGTGGACAAAATGGAAACCACCTTGTAGTATACTACTGTGTAATAAACGATCATCTGTAGGTGGCAGTGTTTTGCCATCTGGCCCACTATCATCCCCAGTAGACTACAATATCGTCATAACAAACATTGACTGTATCAAAGGCAAAAGCAGCAAGTAAAAACTAATTAATTATTGACTTACAAAATGTGTTGTAGCTTAATAGCCAAAGAAGAGGGGGCAAAAGTTTGTTTGTACCATGTTTTGTGCTTCTACCATGTTGTGCTGCTGCCATGTTCTGTTGCTACCATGTTGTTGTCATGGTGTTGCTGCCATGCTATGTTGTTGTCTTAGGTCTCTCTTTATGTAGTGTTGTGGTGTCTCTCTTGTGATGTGTGTTTTGTCCTATATATATATTTGTAAATCCCCGCAGGAGGCCTTTTGCCTTTTGGTAGGCCCTCATTGAAAATAAGAATTTGTTCTTAACTGACTTGCCTAGTTGAATAAAGGTTAAAGAAAAAAGAAAAGTGGAAACGTCTCTCATTTAAACACCTCCCAAATAAACAAAACAGATGTTCAATGGTGAGTCCTCAAAACATCAACTGAGCTTAACCTAACCATTCAGGTTGATTCTGTCACTGGCAACAAATGGTCTGAAGTCAATGAAATATCTATCATTTGATTTTATTATCTAACAAATTGTCGCCGCCATGCTTGTTGCTATGACCCTTTTATGTCATGGTGCCTTTGTTATTATTTTATGTATTTGTTCAATGTAGGCCTATATGCTATATTGATATAGAGTGAAAGTTGTATGAGCACAAATTACTTGCCAGGGCAACGGTTACTAATTATGTTATGCATGATTTATAAGACATGAATAAAGGTTTCTATTAAAAGTGATTTGATAAAAAAATATATATAGGGATTTGTAGGCTACATTTGACTTTTTTTTTCTGCGTCACCACGTCCACTGCGTGTCCCACGTGCAGATGTTTAGGTCCTCGTGCAGATCTACGTCACAGCACTTCGCAGTTGGAAGAAAAACGTTTGATAGAGGGAAAGATGTGACATCAAAACAACAACAATTTGTCGGACCGAACAAAGGGACAGCTC